CTTTAGCAAGTCCAAGGATGAGCACTTATCTCATCCCCGCCAAGTATTCCTTATCCTTAGGAAAGAAAAGTTTTATGTTAATTTTCCCAAGTGCTCTTTTCTACAGAAGCAAGTTATTTTCTCAAGGTTCATTATTTCTGAAAAATGATTAGCTGCCGATCCTAAAAAAGTCAAGGCTATCCATGAGTGGCTTGAACCTAGATCTCTTCAAGAAATGCATAGTTTTTATGGATTAGCATCTTTCTATAGGCGCTTTATTAGGGATTTTAGTACTATCATGAGCCCTAGCACCGATTGCCTTAAGAAGGATAAATTCCATTGGACCCCTACTGCATCATGAGCCTTTATGAACATTAAAGATAAATTATCTAAAGCCCCTATTCTAGCCCTCCCTAATTTCTCCAAGTGCTTTGAAGTGGCTTGTGACACTTTTCGAGTAGGAATTGGAGGTGTCCTCAGTCAAGATGGTCACCCTGTAGCTTTCTTTAGTGAAAAGCTTAATGAAGCTAAGCGGAAGTATTTCACGTATGACAAGGAATTTTATGCCATAGTTAGATCCTTTGAGTATTGGAAATACTATCTTCTCTCTCAACAATTTGTTATGTATTCTGACCATCAAGCTCTTAAGTTCATAAACTCTCAACGCCATCTAAACCTTAAACATGCCAAATAGGTTGAATTCCTTCAAGAGTTTACTTTTGTTGTTAAGCACCATGCAAGAATTGAAAATAAAGTTGTAGATGCTTTAAGTCATAGGGCTAACCTTTTACACACTATGAGTATCAGTGTTGTAGGCTTTGAGAGGTTAAAGGATGACTACACCTTATGCCCTAACTTTAAAGTCATTTATCAAGAAGTTGGTAATGGAGCTCGTCATAACCACACATCTTTCCTTATTAGAGAAGATTTCCTCTTTCGTGGTACTAAGTTGTGTATTCCTCAAACATCTATGAGAGACTTCCTCATTTGGGAACTCCATGCAGGAGGATTAGCTAGCCACTTTGGTAGAGATAAAACTATCGTTTTAGTCAATGATAGATTTTATTGGCCTTCTCTTAGACGTGACGTTGCTCGAATTTTGTCACAATGTCATATTTGTCAAACTTCTAAGGCTAGGAAATAAAATAATGGTTGGTACACTCCTTTACCTATCCCTGATGCACCCTGGAAGGATCTTAGTATGGACTTTGTCTTAAGATTACCCCGCATTGCTCAACATGACTCTGTTCTAGTTGTCATGGATAGGTTTTCAAAGATGGCCCATTTCATACCTTGCAGTAAAAACACTAATGCTTCCCACTTAGCCAAGCTCTTCTTTAAAGAAGTTGTACGCTTATATGGGTTCCCTACTTCCATTATCTCTAATAGAGATGTCAAATTTGTTAGCTATTTTTGGAAGACACTTTGAAAACTCTTTGGAACCCAATTAAAATTTTCTTTTGCCTTCCATCCTCAAACTGATGGCTAAATTAAGGTGACTAATCCAGTCTAGGTAACTTGCTTTGAAGTCTAGTTGGAGATAAGCCAAGGAATTGGGATTTAATCTTACCTACAGCTGAGTTTGCATATAATAGTTCTGTCAATCGATCCATAGGAAAAAGCACTTTTGAAATAGTCTAAGGCTTTAACTTGAAACAACCCATTAACCTGGTACCCCTGCTTGTAACAGCCCGTACTTCTGAATCTACAGAATCTCTAGCATAACGACTTTATGAATTAGATGCTGAGATTAATCGCAAGTTAACACTTAGTAATGATCAATATAAATTATCAGCTGATGCTTATCGTCGTGCTCAAAATTTTAATGAAGGTGACTATGTTATGGCTCATATCGCCCTAAGTCTTATCCTAAAAATTCTTTCAAAAAGTTGCATGCTCGAGCCTTTGGGCCATTTTGCATCCTTAAAAAACTTGGTTCCAATGCTTATTTACTTGAATTACCTCCCGATATATCTATTAGTCCAATTTTTCATGTTGAGGATCTTGTTTCTTATCGAGGCACTTTTAAGCCTCCCCTACTATTTAGTGATGATTTTGTAGGTACACAACCTCTCAATGCCCCAATCCCTTTATTGCCAAAAGTTTCACCTGCTAGGGATAAGATTGATGTCATCATAGATGAACAAATTGTATTAACTACTAATGGTCTTGTTCACCGCTATCTTGTTCGTTGGAAAGACTTCTCAGTTTCAGATGCTACTTGAATTGCTGAAGAGGAGTTTCACTAGATTGATCCCACCTTGTTCGAGTCTTACCAACTCTATACCTCTCTAGAGAAGAGTTCTTTTGAGCTGGGGAAAAATGATGGGAAGAAAATTAAAAAGAAATAAGTGAAGATATTACAAGGATATTGTATATTTGAATATCAAAGAAGATTGAAGATATTTTGCTCTCATATTAATTACGTATATTTTGTTTTATTGTTATCTTTCAACATTTATTATTATCTTTTCAGTTATTGTTATCTTTTTATTTAATTTTAGAATATCTATGATTTTCATGCATTTATTTATAAGATTGGGTTAAGGCCAATAAATAGCACCTCAACTCATTTGATTTGTACGCATATTGATTGAATAAGAATTACTGTTATCTTGCTTCTCTTCTGAGTTTTCTCTTCTCTCTATTTTCTCTATTGACCCCTTTCTCTCTTTTCTATATTCTCTTGCTCTTCTTCCCCATTCTGCATCATTACTACATGTATGTACCCTCCTTGAAGCCCCAAAGATCCAATTCCTCACACGCACACCACAATCGCATACCCAGTACCTTTGTCTTGTTCACATCGTCTTCTCTTCGAACCAAATGGCTCGACTTGCACAATCAGAGCCTTCATGTCGCCCTCTCTTCGAACCAGATGGCTTGACTTGCACACTCAATGCCTCACATCACCCTCTCTTCAAACTAGATGCTCAACTTCAAAGCCATAACTTGGACTGCTTTTGTTTGAGACTTTTCATATTTTAATTTTTCATCTTGGACAGACTAGATCTCCAAAATAAGTGGATCTAATTGTTAATGCCTACTCAGCAAACGCTAGACCAAATCAGTTAATCTAGTCAGTTCCACATATCCTCAAGTAAATGCTCTATGATTATATAAAAAATTAAACATTTTATTAATATACCACTAATTCTCCTCTATGCATTTTGAATTCCAAAAAATAAATCAATTATCAAGATTTATTTACATTATCCAATAGAGTGTTTTTTTTTTTAATTTTATAGTTCAAAATAAAAAAATAATGTAAAAATAGACTTTTAACCTTAAACATAACTTAAATTTGATTAATAAATGTCAAGTTTGAAAAATAATCAATTTTAAAATAAAAGGATTTATGGGCTTAAGCTTAAATATGTGAGCTTGATCTATAGTTTAGGCTTGCCCTTTCTTCAACACTACCTAAAAGTAGACTCATCATATGGAGAAGACAGTACTTGAGAATGAATAATTTAAATTCGAACTCTAATTATTAATAAATTTAAGTTAATAAACAAAAATTATGCATTTCTTACCATCGATGAAGGAATCGGATGAGGTTAATTAGTTGTTTGTCATTCCACGCTCAATGTTCTCTTGGGATGAATCTTCTCCAAGTTAAAAATGGTTTTCTTTTGTCAACACACACACACACACACACACATCACGTTCCGGAGCCACCCAGTCATTTTAAAGTTGAGTCTTCTATAAAATCTATTTCAAAGGCAGTCTTCTCAGTATGATTTATTTTTTCATAAGTTATTTATTGCAAATTAATAATATTAAATCTAAGCGTCAACTAATATCGCTAATCACACGCAAACTTACAAAACTTTGAAACCAACTCATATCATAAAATATATATATATATATATATATATCTTAACATGAAAATGCTTGTTGTTCTAGCAAGACTTGAAAGATAGCGTATCTCATGCTTTGATGGATCGATTTAATTACGTACAAGTTACAGTTGGTAAAAAAAAAAATTAATTACAAGATAGGATTAATACACCAAAAAAACATAATGACAAGGCCACTATTCTTATTGTGTATCCTGTAATGTATGACTGTGTGTGTGTCATTTTTTAAGTGGCATCATTGAGACATTGACTAATTCCTAAAGCTTTCTCCTCTCAAGCAAGTTCAGAAGCACGAAAAGGAGACAGTACTGGACATGGCTCTTTGTGCTTGTACTATTATTGTTTTGAATATTCAAATCAATACTTAATAATAAATATGCTCCTATTACGACTTACAAGTTGCTCGTAGGGAAGGATTCAAATTTAACAAGAACTTGTACTCTATTATTACTTACAAGAGCAACATGTTTTTTTTATGGTTTATTATTATTTTGGTCTTATAAATGTATTTATTGATGATATTTCTTGTGGAAGCTAACACATGTTATGAGCAGAAATTTTAAAAAAAAAGTGGAGAACCCATTTTCAAAAAATTAGTCTATTAGATGGGATAGTCCTTTAAATTTACAAATCACGTTTCATATGTGAAACTCATGACATTACCACCACCACATTCAAGTGCCCACATCATCTACAGATTTATTCCACGGAACTTATAAGTTCAAGGACTTTCTGTGCAAGAATCTTGTTTGGGGAAGAAATTGAAAACATTATTATGACGAAGAGCCCTGATTATGAATAAGTAAATTGAAGCCATGCTAATTAATCTAGGAGATTTCCAGCCACTGTCCACTGGCATGTGGTTTTCCACAATTTTATTTCCCCAATTGTAGATGGAGTTATAGACTGTGAAAATATTTCCCAGATGATTGACCCACGATTTTCAAATTATAAATTATTAAGTTGGAGCTATAAATTATACCCTGAAGATTTAAATATAGGAAGTGTTCATATATCATCACCTTGTATCATACGTATTTTATTTCATTTATTGCAACAACTAATTATTTTAATTTTGAACTTGCATATCTATGGCATTGACAAGTCGTAATTTTTTGTTTAATTTGCTTTCCTCTAGCACACACACACACACCCAGATAGAAAAGAAGTTCCAATAGGCGTCACAGCAACAGACATATATACAATCATACAACGTCGTTAACTAAGGAAATGAACAAAAAATTAATCACTGAGCAATAATAACCCATGTTCTTTTCTTTTCTTTTTGTTTTTTTTTTGGGACTTCTCTTTATCATCGAACAGTTGGATGACCCAACTCGGAGAAGATCGACCCAGAAAGTAAAGACTGGTCTTCACTGCTTGAAGTAGTCAACCTGCTGCCTTTCGATTCGTCACTGCTCGTGAACCCTACTTTACTTTCTTCCACATTTGTCGCTTTTCTCAGCAGAGCACTTTCCTCGCTCTTTCCTTCAATCTCGGCCACATCGAGCCCCACTAATTCTTCTGTCCCTTCCTGAAGCTGCAACGCAAACTCTAGGCCCCACACAACGTCGTTCATTGAAGGCCGTTCATTCCCATCTTCCACTAAACATTGGAGTGCCATGTCGCTGAATGCTTTTAAGCACTCTGGTGTGATACTTTCTATCAGGAAAGGGTCAACAGTTTGATGAATCACACCCTCGCGGTGGCATTTTCGGACCCACTCCACTAAACTTGATTTCTGCTTCTCCACGTTACGTCGCAAAGGAGGCCTCCCACACAATACTTCCAGCAACACAACTCCAAAGGAGTAAACGTCAGACTTCTGAGTTAACCTTTGACGCTTATAGTATTCTGGATCCAAGTAACCAATGCTTCCTTTCACCACTGTGCTTATGTGAGACTTGGACATCCCTATGGGTCCTATCTTGGACAACCCAAAATCCGAAACTTTAGCCACCCATTTCTCATCTATCAAGATATTTGTGGATTTCACATCACGGTGAATGATATTGTGGTTCGCACCAGTGTGAAGATAATGGAGCCCACGCGCAGCACCAAGGCACATCCCCAACCTTTGCTTCCAAGAAAGCGGAGGGTTATCAGTATCGTAAATATGGTCACTGAGGGTCCCACGAGCCACGAACTCATAGACGAGGATCATCTCGTTGCCGTCGTTGCAGTAACCAATAAGAGACACTAAATGATTGTGACGAAGTTGAGAGAGCATTTCAATCTCTGTTTGGAATTCATGGAACCCTTGTTGTGAGCCTTGCTTGAGACGCTTGATTGCCACAGGGACCGTACCGTCATCAATGTAGCCTTTATAGACATTACCAAACCCTCCAACGCCCACAATAAAAATATCATCAAAATTACTTGTGGCTGCTTTAATCTCATCTATTGAAAAGCAGCGACACAAATTGGATGGCAATGATGAACCATGGGATTTGTTCTTTTTCGACGAGTCTATTGGTTTCTGTCCCCACCATGAACTGTTTTTGTTCATGGTGGGGACAGAAACCAATAGACTCGTCGAAAAAGAACAAATCCCAGAAGATCTAGTCCGTTGCCGAATGATAAACAAAACAACAACAGATAGCACAATGAAGCCCGAAGCTACCCCAACAACAACGGAAATTACCCTTGTTTTATTGGAGGACTTGGGTGATGGCAAGTTTGGTATTGAGGGAGATGGACGTGGAACGGGATTAGGACCTCCAAGATTATCACTGGCCGGGTCACTTATTTTCAGAATTTCAATACCGTTCAATAAGACATCTCTGTATATGCTTCTTGCTCTCGGGTGTGGTTGCAACTTGATTGAAAGATTCAGCTTCTTTGAACTTCCTTGGCTCCACATCGACACGGCATAGTCTTTATGTACAGGAACCAGGTAGCCACTCCACATAAACACATCGGCAACAGCCTCCACCAACTTATCAGCTATAAAGATTTGAAAAACTCTATATCCAGCATTTTTAATATTTTCATCGAATTCACAAAAATGCAATCTCACCATATAAGTGAACTCTGAGTCGACTTCAAAATCCCAAGTCACATTAAATTTGGACGTCTCATTCATCCCATAGTTTCGAGCAGTCATGTATACTTCATCTGGTGAGGTATAATTGGGATAATCTTTGTAGTTTGGCTTTAACCCAAATCCGTCTGATACACTATGCAGGCGCTCCCCGCTCTCCAAGTAGGCAAGATCCTGGTCCCAATAACGAAACATGCCAGTATCAATATCGGAAGCGATCTGACTCCCTCCAACGTTGGTTCTGTACACTGTCTCGAGAGCACTGTTGTTGTTGACACGAAACTGGATGGTTTGGCCATCTAGCATCATAGCCTGTAGTTCTTCAGGGTTAGTGTAGTAAAGATAGGAGGGCATGGAGACAACCTCGATCCCATTGACGAAAGCATAGGTATTTTGATGAGATCGGCTGGGAGTGAAGGTTATGTTTAGCAGCCTCTGACCTGGGTCAATGTTGACGCAGTACTCTCGTACGATGGCTCTTTCTGAATCTCCAGGGTCGGCGTTAAGTGAAACGTTGAAGTCCTTAAGAAGGGCGTGGGGCCCGGCTTTGACGGAGAAGAAAGCATCGGGAAGAAGGAAGTGGGGGTCATAGGAAGATGGGTAAAAGTAGAGACGAATAAACTTTTGGCCGTCGGTCACTGGAAAGGAGTAGGAGAATTCCAAGCGAGAGAGCCGTGCGGTGCCGCCGGGGATATTTTGGTTGCTGACTTGTGCATCGGCGGCTTTGACAAACTGGGTGGCTTTGTCGGGATCTATGAGAGAGAATTCAGTGGAGCCAATATCTCCGGTCCATTTCCGGTTATCAAAAGACGAAATATTGCCGGAGATACCACAGTTGACTGCAAAATTCTCAACTGGTGTGTATGAAGTGACCAGGACAGTGATGAAAAGGAGTTGGAAGAAGAGGAATAACAGGAAGGCCTGCGTCTCTCTCATTACTGTGATCTCCTCTTCACTCTGTCTCACTCTCCTTTTCGTGGTGGCGGTGGGATTTAAAGAGTTAAAGCTTGAAGAAACGCTTTGAACAAACTCGATGAAATCGATGGGATTTCCAGGAAAGAGAGTTTCCGAGTTTCGTTAGACCAAGTAATAATTTGCACTGCTTGACTTTTCCAACCGTCTTACGTCACTCTCTCTCCCTCCCCACCATACTCACTTGCCTCGTCACTTCGTTCCCACAACAGGTCTGTCGTCTACCATGCTCAGACTACAATAAAAAAAAAAAAAAACTTTCAATGACGACTCTAAAAAGTTATCGCTAAAAATGAACAATATGTAGTGACAGTAAAAAGTTGTCATTGAAAGTGTGACTTTCTGCGACGACATTTGAAATTGCCGTTGAAATAGTAACTTTCTGCGGCGACAAGATATAGTCGCCACTAATTGTCAAACTTTCAATAGCAACAAGTACATGTTGCCGCCGAAAGTCTCTGTTTCAACGGTGACATATAAGTTACCACTGAAAGTTGAGAATCAACGGTGACTTTTTAATGGCGCCGCTGATTGTCAACATATTTTAAAATATGTTATAATTTTTTAAAAAAACTTATGTTATAGTTTCAGCAGTGACTTTTATGTCGCTGTTAAAAGTTGAGAATCAACGGTGATTTTTTGATATCATTGTTGAAAATGAGACTTTTAGCTATGACTTTGAATGCTGCCTCTCTGAAAGTTTGATTTTGTGTTATCATCATAATTTTTTATTTTTATTTATCTAATATTTAACATTTTAAGACATTAATTTTGTTGTATTATTGTAATTTTATAATGAATATATAAAATAACATAATGAGTTTTTATTTAATATATTCTATGGTTAAATTGTAACTTTAAGATAAGGTTAAGGTATTATTTAATGCCAATGAGCTAAAGTAAAGAATTAAGCCAAACCATATTATTTTATGTGTGTGTTTGTATTAAAAAATTTACAATTGAGGTTAAGATTCAACCGAGGTTAGCAAAGTAAGGTTAGAACAAAAGTCAATAAATGTAATATGATTTATGTTTGGATATGTTTTTTTTTAGAAGTCAGTTAGATAAACTGAAATTTGTTTGAATAATTTTATTCAAAAGCTAGTTGAGATGTTTAATGGCCAAAATAAGCATGAAATTTTTAATATATATTTTTTGACTAATTAATAACTAAAACAAATTAAATTTAAAATTATAACTAATAAGTGAAAAATCTTAAATATTCAAGATAGAAGAGAATAGAGAGAAAGCATAAATCATCGGATCAACGTAGAAGTCAATAACACTACTTGTTTATAATAATTAAATATGTGATACTTAAATTTATTCATTCATAGAATGATATTTCATCTAATCTAATTTTTCAATTCAAATTCTACATTTAACACCAGTAACTTTAAAGCTTGATGCCAATTTAGAAACATAAATAATTATAAACTAATGTATAATCATTAATATTTTTACTATTTATTCTTAGATATTTTTTATATTATAATTATAAATATGAATATTAAAATAAATAATATAACAACCTCAAGAAGTAAAAAAATTTAAAATAAATAATACAAATGATATTGTATCAATTATATTTATAGTTTACTTTAAACAAAATAAATAATATAATTTGTAATTTTATAAATTAAAAGAATTAAATTGAAGTATTTAAGGATAGTAATGATATTTTATAATATTTAATATTTAATATATGTGTATGTTTGTATAGTTTAATAGTATGTATGTATATACATATATATTTAATTATGCAATAATAGACTACAATTTCATTCCAACTCAACGGCAAAATGGTTGGACACAAAAGGAGAAGGTCATGGGTTTAAACCTTGGAGGAGACAACTTTCAAAATGGTAAAGTGGTGACATGATGCCACGTGGTGTGAGGTGGGAGCGACATGTGGAGGGTGACATGGCACCACGTGGTGCGAGGTGGGGCCCTATGTGGAGGGTGACATGCCCCCACGTGGCGTGAGGGGGCACCACGTGGACGTTGATGTGGCGCCATGTGTGTAACTGAACCAACATTACTTTTCAATCTGCGGCAACAATAAAAGTCACCGCTGAAAGTCAATTTTTCTACAGTGTTATGGCGGTGATGAGCATTCTAGAGTGTACAGAATACATATAAATAATTAATATATAATAGTTATAAAAATTTTAATATTAAATTAAACCATTTAAATTATATTTAGACTAGATTAAAAATAAAAAATTATTAAAATTATTTTTATAAATTTTTATTTTAATAAATAAAAAATGAAATCGTGCTTTAAATTTTAATCATTCAAATTTAAATTTAGATGGTTTAAATTTCGTCACACCTCAATCTGGCCAAAAAAGGTAAAAGTGAAAAAAAAAATCTTTCTTCTTTTGTTTTGAGAAAAAAATTTTCTTAGTTCACTTGCCCACCTCATTATACTACTCCACCGAGGCAATGTAGCATTGTGTTTTCGTAGAATTCTGGAGTATTGTTTTTCTCACTGCCACTTACTAACTTCGGCAATGAATTGAGCAATATTCGTATTTTTTTAGTCAGAGTAGCAATATCCACATGATTTTAAAAAAATAAAGGGAGAATTTTAGTTAAGAATATGAGAAGACACTTAATTTTTAGTAGGTCCTTAAACAATCTAAAACTCAGCAGATTGAACTAAAAATAACTTAAATGCAAAAAAGATGAAGTTTAGTTTACGTGCAACAGTAGAGTAGAGAAAGCGCAAGATGTTTTTTTGAAGAAATAATTGCCATAAAGGTCTGTTTTCCATTTTCAATTTCTCCTCTCCATCTTCATCTTCATCAAGCTCTTGACTTTCTATTTACATTGATATCCTCATCTTTGACTAGATTTCAATTGACGTTTGAGGGATTTTGTCTTTTGCCGTCGACGACCTACGCCAATCAAGAAAGTTGAGTCTTCTTCTCCATTCCAAATACACTCAGTCACCAATATCTCTCTTCCTTTTGATAGTAAGTTTGTTCACTATTTTCCCTCTATTCATGTAAAGTATTTAGTATACGGACTTTCCCGCTTGTTGGGTGTGTTAATTTTTGACTATTACTTGCCCACGTGATCTGTATTTTGAAATTGAAATATGATTTTAAATAAAATGAAGAAGTTAATCTAGTGATTTGCAAGTTTTGTTAAATAATTTACTAGTTATTTATAGTAATTTAACAACACATATGTTGGGTTGCTGGTGTATAAGTTGTAGAAAGCAAAATAATAAGTAAACCTAGGAAATTTACAAGATTAATATATGAGATTAACAAGTGATATTGAGTAAAATGTCTGTTGGTTTATAAATTGTATGAACCTTGATAACAAATGAACCCAAGAAATTAACTAGTGTGATGTAGGAGATTAATAAGTGATATTGAATAATAAAATGACTGTTGGTTGTAAATTATATGAAGGTCAATAACAAGTAAATCTAAATAATTTACAAGTCTTATACAAGATGTTAATAAGTGATATTGAATAATAAAAAGACCGTTGGTTGTAAATTGTATGAAGCTTAATAACATGTAAAGTTACGTAATTTACAAGTCTTATATAAGAGATTAATAAGTAGTACTGAATGAAATGTCTATTAGTTTGTAAATTGTATGAAGCTTGACAACAAGCAAAGATAGGTAATTTACAAGTCTTACAAAGGATATTAACGAGTGGTATTGAATGAAATATCTACTAGCTTGTAAATTGTATGAATTTTGATAACAAGTAAAGCTATGAAATTTACAAGTCTTATATAGAAAATTAACAAGTGATATTGACTGAAATATTTGTTGGTTTATAAATTGTATAAAGGTTGATAACAAGTGAACCCAGGAAATTAACCAGTGTGATATAGAAGATTGTTAAGTGATATTGAATAATGAAATGTCTAATGGTTTGTAAGTTGTGTGAAGTTTGATAACAAGTAAAGCTAGTAAATTTACAAGTCAAATATTGTATATTAACAAGGTTTATTGAATAAATAACTTAAGTGTAAATTTTCTAGCGATATTAAAAAAGGTGGATGAGAAAGCTAAAAGGAAGTGTCCCAAACAACCAATCACGACTATTTAGAAAAGAATTTTGTGGAAAAAAAAACAAGGAAAAGTTTCACACTTTCCAAGATGTTGTAAAAGATGTTGGAGAAGCTTGGAAAGAGCTTAGTACTGAGGAGTATAGACAATTGGCAATGGTTGAAGAAAACGCTCAAAAATAAGTTCCACCATTCAACACCAGATGCTCTCCAAGCAAATTCAAAGAAGTGGCTGATTTTGTGAAAGCAAACAAGAAGCTAAAAAGAAAGGTTGACAAAATTGGTTTTGAGAGATTACTTGATATTAGTCGTAAGAAAATTCCTCGACAACTCTGTGCTGAGCTAATGCTTGCATATGATCCTCTAACTCAAAAATTGACTATTAGAGGGAAGTCCATCCAGTTGACAAGTGCAGAGGTTGGGAAGCTATTAGGCATACTTGATGAAGGAGCTAAGGTTACAATGACAGTAGACAAGAATATTGTTGATGGCTTAAAGAAAGAATTGTTGGAAATTGTACTCTATGGCTAATTATTGTACTATAAACATTGTTATATAATGAATTTTTGTTATCATATTAATTGCATGTTCACTATGATAATTATATCCTTGGACAAACTATAGTGATTGTCCTAAATGTCCTTGGTTGGTTATCTATAAGGGATCATAGATGAAATAAGATTAGTATGATTTTAATTAATTATAAAGATATAAATCAAAATCGTAGGCACTTGAAAGGGTTCTAAGTGCGGGACGACTTGCTATGAGAAAGTTGTATGGTACAAGTCATAGTTCTCCTTTACATTCTAGTAATAAAAAGTATGTCTTTCACCCCTAAAAATAGCTTGGATAGCAACTATAATTGCATTATATCTATCAGATACAATCGTTAAATGAAGATATGTTGTTATCTCCTTAATGTTATACAAGAAACATGCCCAATCATTAAAAGTTTCCCCACCAACAATGGCATAAGCTAGAGAGAATAACTCATTGTCTACATCATATGCTTACA